TGGTTAGGAGAGAAAGTCTGACGGCACAGGTCGGAGCCCCTGGGAGCTCTTGAGGCGCTTCGCTCGCCTTTCTGTTTTTTCTTTTTTCTTTCCTTCTTTGGATCACACGAAGGCTCCATGCGTTTCTCTCTTCCCTTTTCCTCTGAACAAGGGAGCTTCATTTCGCTCCTTATTACTTCTGCCACCCGCCTTGCCTTTTCTTTGATCTGTTCTTCAGCACTCTCACGGCATTACGCGCCGTAGTTGACGGGCATGAAAGACGACGACGCTACCCCTCCCGCGTACGATAGCGAGGAGAACTTCAAGACCTATGCCGTCTCTAGATATGATCAGATGTTGCTGGAAAACGACAAAGAGATAGACTGGTGGTGGTCTCTGCTGGCCAAGATCTTCTCGTGGCTATTGTTGGCAGGCTACATTGTGTTTCCTTCCACGTTCGCCTCGCTGAAGAGGTCGCAAGTTCTCGAAAGCATGGGCAAGGTCGGGCAGACGGTGGCATACTGGGTCAACGACTGTCTGATTGCTCTGGCCTCTGTGCTTTCGGGCGTTGCATCCATCGGCCTGGCATGGCTGTGGTTCAAGTGGCGTGCAAACTATGTCTGGGTGCATCAACACATAATCATGTAAGACGCCGTGCTTGACCAGGTTTCGCGCGCGTCGACACTCACAAAGCTGTAGTCCGACGTTGGTCAACTCGCTCATCGGGTTTCTGTCGACCATCTTAAACATATACACGGTACATGGGGGTCAATGGTCTGCAACGTCGATAGCTACTACAACCGTCACCGGCTGGTGGCTGGTCGTGTCTTGCGTTTTGTGCGGCGTCTACCAATATTTACTAGATGGACTACGTCGCAAGATGGAATGATGGCTTGGAAGACGTTGTCGGGAGCTGGTCTTCCATATTTTCATTTCTCAGTTCATTCAAAAATTGGTCTTACGTTTCCTTCGGGCAAGGGCAGATGTACCGTCGTTAAGCATATGCATAGCCCTGTTTCTAGCTGTGCTCAGATGTAAAATAACTCAGATGTCGAATACTACGATGTTTATTGGCTTCGCCTGGAATACTGTACGTACAAGCGGATCCCTACATCTCTGTTACTCTTCTCTGCGGCACAACATTGGATTCTACCCAACTTGGCTCTGCCTACATCGAAACATTGCATTCCCCTGTGAAATGACATTGTACATACGAGTATCATGCTGAACGCGCCTGTCTTCATGACAGTAGGCGATCGTCAAATGTGCGATGGCGTTTGAAACATCTGTCCATGCAGCCCACATGGCGGAGGGCAACGCTACAAGCTGCGTCGTGGAGTCAAACTAGCCGTCGACTGTGTGAAGCAACAACATCTCGTTCCAGAGCTCGACTCTTCCCGTGCACGTTGCATAACGCCAAAATCTGCTCTCCATGGGTATACTTATACACCATCAAACACTTGCGAAGATGCCAGATCGTTTGTAGAACACATCAAAGCAAGCGTGATGAAATCCAACAGAAAGACCCAGATCGCCATCTTTTCCAATGGTTACAACGCCTCAAGTGCCGCTGCGTCGGATCCTAGGGCCAGACCCGCGGCGCATACGGCAGCAGGAAAACATGATAGAAACCTGCCAAAGCAGACCGAGAGCCAAAAAAAGGAGCGCGTTTTGGCCGCGGTCCCAGAGAGAGGTTTACCCAGCCCGAAACACGACAACATATCGGATCGCCCATCACACGTCGAAAAGGGCTCACCCTTGAAGCACTATCAGGCCGAGTTCGAGCTCAACGATCTCGGGGGTACTCTGACAGTGGCGTCAAGACATCGAAAACTGTTCCACATCAGGGAACTGGTCCGCACGGAGTCAAAAGAAGTCCTGGAAAAGCTGAGAGTGCTTCGCCACCAAAATGTTGTCGAGTTCATCCAGGCGTACATGACGCCCACCTCTTTCCACGCCGTCTTCGAGGCCATGGCTGTCAGTCTCTTACATGTGGTGGAATGCCCGATAT